ACCGATATGCTGTTTACGCGCCATGTAACGAGCTTCCAGTAGTGGCATGTAAACAAAATAACGCCCGCGTTGCCTTTATTGACAAAATACATGGGAAATGAAATCCCAGCGTGCTTTTGCTCGCTTCAATCCCCAGTTCTGGCGAGAAGCTAGCACGAAGCACCCCCCCCCCTCCCCGCCCCCCCGGAGAACTTCTCAGCCTGCCCCCCCCCCCCCCCCCCCCCGAAAATGGAAGGTCTATGCCGCTGCCCTACGCCACGAAGTTAGCACAACAAACTATCGCCGGTGTTTCCCCATTTCTTTTTTTTTAGAAGTGATTGATGTTTAGGAAACTGTTAATGCGAGTATCCAACCTAAGCTGTAGGTTTTAGTGCAAGCCAATACATTGCTGGGGAAAATAGCAAAAAGCGCCGATGTCGTGTTTGCGCTAACAGTGTCGCGTAATGCATGCATACCGCTGCACAATCAACGCTAACGGAGTGAATCAGTAAATTAAGTGCCCCCCCCCCAAAAAAAAACAAATGGTGTTATTTTGTTTTGTTTTTATGGTTGAAAAGTTGTTATTTTTATACAAGCAATTCGGTAAAGAGTGCTTCCATTGGGCACCAACTTACGAGGCATCAATTTGTTCTTATACACTGAATTCTGCATGGCCCTTGCGCAAAAATGTCAATATTGTGTTTGTGCTAGCTGTGTCACGCACAGTAAAGGCCCGTTCACACTCTTGCGACCGAGTACGACTGAGATAGACGAGATCTCTTAAAATTTCTTAAATGTTTTTAGAATGAGGGAACAAACTGGCATTGTGGCGCCATCTATGCGGTGACCCTGGAACTGCATTTCACAAGAGCGAGGGTTTTGCGGGATTTCCGAGGTCAAATGTGTGTAATACCCATAGAAAAGCTCGTTTATAACATTTACAAAAGTTTTTCGAGCCAGGAAAAAAAGGATAATGCGCGAGAAATAAAAAAAAATATGCCGGACCGCCGACTTTACAATGCTTTCCAATAGATGGCGCCAGTGCGTTCTCTGGTTTAAGAAGTTTTAAGGAACCCAGGTTTAAGAGGTCGTAAGCGGTCGTAAGAGTGTGAATGGGCCTTAATAAGACCAGTCCATTGCTCGATCATTTAAACAAAGCCTTTCATACGCCAAATAGACATTTTGCGAGTACGCTCTATTACTGGTGGTTCATAAAATAATCTACGTTGTTTATTTGGAGGAAAGGAAGTGTTGGTGAGGGGAGGGGGAATGGAATACAAAAGACGACTTTAGGGAAACTTTGTAAATATTTTGCAAAACCTTAATCCTGAGTTAATTAAATTACTTTTGCTTTGTCTGTTTCAGAACTTGTTAACAGTCGTGCTAAAGGCCAAGATGAGCGAAAAGTCAGATGCCCGTTTATTTGAGCAAGAAGCGTATATATGCGAGATAGAACTGAAAAAGCATACGAGCGTAACCGTAGCAATCTCCGACCAAGCCTGAACCACGCTTTTTCTGAAACCACGGAGATGACTGCTTTTGACGACTTGATAAAGCAAGCCAAAGCCGTTAATAAGTGTGACTTGTCAGCTGTGATAATCAAGGCGCTGCGACAATTTCTTGAAACTTTTCATCTATTAAAACAAAATGTGTAATACATCCATTGCCATATTATGCTTGCGCTGATCTTGTAGCGGTATGCGTGCATTACGTGGCACTGTTAGCCCGAACGCGACATCGGCGCTTTTTACTATTTCTGCCCAGCAACATGTATTGTCTAGCACTGAGCTCTGCCACTTAGGCTGGATAGTTGCGTTAACAGTTTTCTAAACATCATTCACTTCTGAGAAAACAAAATTAGAAAGACTGGCGATAGTTTGTCCGTGCTAACTGTGTGGCAGTATACCTAAAATGTCTTTGCAATGACAAATTACAAACGTGTTTCATGTTAAAAAAAATCTGCTACATTTGATTCATTTTTTCTTATTTTTAATGCTTCAAAAATACTTTAAAGTGGCAGCATGTGGTACAGCACCGATTTAAGCAACGTTGAACTATAACACGACACGCTTCAATAGCCGCACTCGATAAAGAATGCTCACAGAAAGGTTATAGCTTATATATTGTTGCAGGGTACGGTTATCCAAGAGCTAAAGACGATCCACTAAAAGTTTTTAGTATCGACACACACCATTGCTGCCTTCTCACCTCATGTGGTTGTTTGGATTAGTGTGAGTTACGCACACAATAATTTGTGCTCGCTGCTAGAAAACAGAGACCTTCTGCAAGATGCCCACGCCTGGTACATCGTTTTCTTTTCCATCGATTCCAATTTGAGGCAGGTTTGAGCGTGATAAGCCGTTTTTTTTTAAGATGGAATGTTTTGTAAAGATGTAAGTCATCCTTACACATTCAAGTCGCCACATCTCGCGCATCTGTTTTGAGCTCCTGGATCAACCGAGAATATCTATGGAACGTTCCTTCAATAGGTGCGGGGATGCATCGCAGCTCCCAAGTATGCGTTTACTTTGCCACGGGCTAAACCAAAGAACTTCTACAGCTCAAATTCAGTGACTGCGAGGGCGCAGCCTTGCATCTCCGTAAAACCTACACCCGAGGGGCTAGGCTTGGCGAGCACCAAAAAATAGGGCAGATTACGCGATAGGAGCTGAAGATACCTGTATGTCACGAGGTCGCTGCTGCTGCACCCATCGCCCGTCGCTCAGAAAGGGGATTTTCTCAGCTTATCCTCTCAGAAGAAGCCGGCACAAGAGGGGACCTTTCCCCTCGCCTCGCCGTGCTACAATAGAAGAGAGAAAGGGAAAGAAAGAGGGCGAGAAGGACTTTCCGCCAGGCGGAAGAATATTTCTGCTGGTCCCCGTTTAACAGCTTCGCTGTAAAATATTTACAGCGTTTCAAACACATCAGAAATTGAGAAGTTTCGCAACTTTAATGCGCAATTAAAAAAAACATCTTCAATCTTTTTAAAATTTTGGAGGAATCACCCTCTTTACGCTCTCGTAATGTTCCAATAAAAACATGTTGCATCCTTTTGTCTCTGTCAAAAGTAAAACGCTTTGAAATGTACCTCCCCGTAGACATTTTTGCCCAAGGCCATGGCCGCAGTAGCTGCCTTCCAATTTTTTTGTTTAGAACTTCTCACAATGTCCTGTTTTTTTACTGATGCACAAGTCCGAATTATACATCTGGACCACTCTAAATACATTTATGAGGTGCACATAGCTCAGGACAGCAGTTTGAAGCATCAAAGATGCAAACTGTGAGGAGCCCGCTTTTTGTGCTTAATTGTTGCATATGGGCTACTGCACGGTCGCGCAAACTGAAACACGACCCCCCGAACGAGATACTTGGCTCGATAGAAAGAAAACAACACACATAACCAAGAAATTCGCAATCCCAGACATGCAAAAAAAAAAAAAAAAAAAGCTCACTTTCAGATGCTGTTTGTCTAAGTAAACTGACGGAGGCGGAAGAGCTGGGCTGGTAGGGTTTTTATGCAAAAATGAATAAATAAATCTGGACGCAGACATGGGGAGACCGCAGCTCCAATTCCAAACTAAAGGCATAGCTTGCTACACGTTAAGGAATGAAACAAGCATATTGGTAATGTATATACCTTTCAGGAAGGGATAACATAAAGTATGGAAGGGAACCGCTGCTGACTCTAAGATCAGTTAACACTTGACCGCTAAACCTAAGTTGAATTGCGGTTGTTGCTCGGTTGACTATTCGTCGACCAGTAGGATCGGCGGTCACACCTCCACATATGCAGAGAGATTATGGAGGCGTTGAGCATGCATCATTCCAAGGACAAATTCAGTTTCCCCTTGATAAGCCCACCTAGGAAAGAGATTAACTGCCTTCCGTAGCAGCTTCTCTCCCATTGAACAACATCTGAAAGAGTTTTTTTTTTCCTTTTGTGTGTCTAGGGTTGGGAGCTTCTTGTTTATACATGTTTTCTTTCTACAGAGCATAGTATCTCATGCAGAGGGTCATGTTACAGCTCACGCGACCTTGCAGTGGCCTAGGCAACAATTAAGCACGAAGGGCAGGCTCCTCACAGTTTGCATCTTTTATGCTTCGAACTGCTGTCCTGAGTGAGCTACGTTCACTTCATACATGCATTTAGAGCGGTCCAAATGTATCATTCGGACTTGTGCACCAGCAAAAAAAGACATTGTGTGAAGTTCTGAACAAAAAAATTGGAAGGCAGCCATTCAACCATGGCCTTAAGCAAAAATGTCCACGTGGGAGGTACATTTCACAACGCTGTACTTTTGAAGGAGACAAAATGATGCAACATGTTTTGAATGAAATATTACGAAGGTGTAGATGAGTGTCATTCCTCCAAATTTAATTTTTTTTTTTTTTTACATTGAAGTTGTGAAACTTTTTAATTTTGGATATTTTGAAGCGCTGTGAATATTTTGAATTATAAACTAGACCATCAATTTATTTTTTGATAAGCGACACTTTTGTGAAGGACATATGAAAAAGATCTCAGTTTAATATCCTTAAGACATAATGAGTCACAAAAATGTTAGAGCAGTCAAATTTGTTAATTTTTCATCTGTGATATATAATTTTTAGAATTCTGTAAACATTCAAGAATACAGTAACTATAATTTACTGCTTCTTGAAAAACAATCAGTTATCGTTTTTTTTTTTTTAATTTGCTTTGACATGCAGTTAAACGTGACAGAACCAACAAAGCCCTGAAAATACGGTGTTGCTGTATGGAAGCAGTCAAGTTTCTTTTTTAGAAAACATTTATGATATTGTTTTTTCTATATATTGGGGAGTAGCAGATAAAAATATGAAGAAAAACAAAAATGCTAACTGGGGACACATGCTTAAACTTATCTGAACACACCCCAAATACAATTATTTAATCTAGCTGATGAGAGCCAAGGAATCAGGATTGAGATTCAACCCACTGTCATCACTCTCATTTAGTCTTATGGCCACTCACTCCTCAGTGCCTCCATCTTTGCAGGCGTCGCTTCTTTTTTGGCCTTGGAGCCTGGCTTGTTCCGACAAGCTGTTCCGGTGACGCTTCTTGACGCCAGTTCATCATCTGTCCAGAGGGACCGGGACGCTCCAATAACACATTTTGAGTCAGTTTTGGCCAATAGCGCCAAGTTGAATTTTGGCTCTGGTATGGAGACACCTGGGCTAAGGTGCACCTGCAAAACACAACACATGCACAAGCTCACTTCTCATTTTCGGTTCATCTTCCAGAACCTCCTTAAAAACTGTAGAATTGCAAATCTTGTACACAAAATATCATGACAACTTACCTGGCCATCAATCACTTCAAACAGCTTCGGTTCCACGACCGGATGGACATTTTCCAGCCTTTGTTCGGGCACTGTTAACATAAACATCATTGGTGAGAGACAACTAGAAAGCAGTTCTTCACACTGACATTGCATTCACTAAATATACAGTGCGTTTTTTGTTGAACTAGAGATTTTTCTAAAAAAAACATGAAAGTTACGTAATTGCAGTTTGCGTTGTTATACACAAACTCAACTTTCCTACGTCACGCCGCAGTGGTGGCGCGTCGGGCCCATTTTTGGTCTGGGGCGGTGGGCAGAAGTCGCCGTGCGAGACATGCATTCTGGTGTTCGTTTCGGAGAAACCACACGAAAAACCGGCGTTCTCGTCAAAATGCTGCGACGGGGGCTGTACCAAAAGAGTCTGGAAAGGTTTGAAGATCAGTTTTCATGTGTTTCTGCCCGCTCCGTTCGTCTGAGTGCGTGGATAGTAGCAGTGAAAAGGGTAAGCGAGACGCTGTCGAACTACGATTGCTTGTGCGGGCAACACTTTGTGGTCGCCAGATGTATTTGTTGTGTTCCAACATGAACGAGAGAAAACCGCCAAGTTGTCCGGGCCACCCGCGGGTTCAGTGCATTTTCAAATTCATACGGCCGCCTGATCGTTCGAACTTTCGTCTGCTCTTTAGAACTTGTCTGCTTTTTGTCGTCAGCTCGCTCAAACGACAGCGGCCCGTAAACCAAACGTTGACCCGGTAATTGCGATAAGAACTAAGTGCAGGCCTCAAAACACATTTGAAGGTTCGTTGGGGTAAGTAGGCTAAGTGTAAACAGTAGATACAAGAAGATGTTGATCATTGTTACCAGTGGCCATCGCCGATTTGTAATGCCAGATTCTACTTGCAGTTTTCAGTATCTACGTCCATCATATCAGCTGCGGTCCACACTTTTGCAGTCCGAGCGACGTCGCGACTGAAGATAGCGAGCAGAATCTTATCGTGCGAGTCGGGCTGTAGCGCCCATTCTGCGGCGTCCACGTGAAATGAATCGCCGCAAGTAACATTATTCACGCAAAGTTTTGCCTCGTTGATTTTGCTGAAGCCGCTCAAGTAGTCAGACATTGTTAGGAGGACGTAGAATCGACAATTCCAACGCGAAAAAGAGCAAGGGGGGCTCCCACCGACGCCGAAAACAACGCAATTCAATGGTTTGTTTATGGGCGACGGTGGGCTTTTTGCCCACCGTCCACTGCGCGTCTTCTAGGGGTGCTCCGGTTTGTTTGTAAACATGTTCGAGAAAGCAGCTAAAAACCGGGTATTTACCTCAAATTCACTCATGAACTTTTTATAATTTAAAGAAAAAGGTTTCTATTAGAATGTTGTTGGGCATCATCGAAAACCCCCTAATCACCTATTTTTTGAAAGACGTAACGCATGTACACCCTTTTACGGCGTCCTGAAAAGCCTCCTAACTTAGGCGTGAAAAAGTAGTTCTGATGTGTTACTGACTATGATCTGCGCGTAACGCAGCCCCGCTTTGAGCAGCCAAAGCGACAAATCACGCGAATCGTCATGACAATGCCTCCACATAAGAGAAGAGCTAAGGTGACGCAGCTCCCTTTACCAGGATTGCGACGGCCGAAAAAGATTGTGGCAACGAGATTCACATCCAAGTTAGGTGGTTTTTCAGGATGCCTTAAACTGCTTCACGCATGTTATATCTTTATCAAAGCAGGCAATTTGGAGGTTTTCAATGATGCTCTGGGGGATCGGTGGTCCTTAGGACATCAATATGCAAAAATGGGCCCTCGGCATATTTTCCAGAATGTTAAAAAATTGTGGAGTGGGCGCTTATTGTGGAATAAGCGGATGTTCGGTATTTTAGAGCAATTCGTCGTCCTCTCACCCACCAGCACACTTCAAAAGTCACTTGTCCAATTCAATAAAAAGCAAAGCAATTTTGTTCACTGCCTTTTGAATGCCCATGAAACAAGATTCAGACTCCTTTCTTATATGAAACATGATAGACGAAATCCTGCCTAAGCTCTCCTGCATTTTTTTTTCCTTCTAAGCTACACATAGCAGAAGCTATGAATAGCTGAGCCAATCCAATGCAAATTGGGAGCTACGTGACAGCACCCTCAGTGTATTTCCTTGCGCAGGCAGAGAATGCTTTAGTCGTCTGTCACAAGCAGCAAGCTACTTACAAACTAGAGCCACTGTCTATGTTCCTGAAGAGAGCAGAGCATTCACTTGATCTGAAAACTTGCGCAGCAAATAAGCGAGTCAGACCTTGACGGTGACCGCGCCAGCCGCCCCTACAACCGTTGCCAGTGATGCTCGTGCAAATAAAAGTAGATGTGCCATTAAAGCGCAATATTAGGCAAGGCACTCTCAGCTACCTTTTAAGTCAGTTTGTCTGCAGTAAAGTTCATATTTGTAATCTGTGCACTTTTCAGACTGCTCTATTATTCATATGCTAACTTATTTGTACAGTTTTTGCGACCTGAAATTTTCTCAGCACTGCATGGCTGCAATGTGCAGGAAGGCCTACAAGTCTCCAATGTCGTTACCTTGCATTTCAAATCTGATCAAAACAAATCAGTTCTATTTTTGCAACAGAACATCCTTCCTCACATAGCAAAGAGCATTGGCACCTTGCTAAATGAGATTACCTTCAGTTCAAACTCTGCATTACTAAAGCTTTGGTTCCCCTTAAATTTGAATGCTCGGGACTGCACTGTAATGGCACTCGCAATCCAATCAGTCTGGTCCCTTCAGGAGCATGTGAAGTGGTTGCTATCAGGCTCAGTTAATGCAAAAAAAGTAACAAATTGATTTTTGCATTGTTTGAACTTCCCGCACGAGGTCATGTGGCTGTGATGCCATGACCCTATCGATCAATCAGGATTTTCGCATCACGCAGCCGACGTCGGCTTTTCTGGGACGCGAGCTCCTTAACGCTGTCGTGTTAAGAAGCACTGCTTTTGATGCATCGCACAAGATGAATGCTTACCAGGTGGCAAAGGCTCGTGCAATATTACCGCTGGCTCGCGCAGTACTACCGCTGGCACAGACACTGCTGGAGCTGGCGGAGCTAGGGAAGCAGCCTCCTCCTGCTGTGGCCCTAAAAGAAAAGCAGTGGCAGACATAGCATAGCATTAGAGTGTGCTTAGCAATAACATCCAGAGCTGGCATACACCTACCCAAAGCCAAAGCCAAAAGTCCTACAACAATCTCAGCACACTAGCTCAAAATGGTAACTGTCGCGGCACAAGGTTTGTACAGTGGCAGAGCCCAAGTTAAACTTGGCATAAGTTGCACAGGGAGGACGACGAGCAAAAAGAAAACTATGAAAGCGTCAACAGCACGGGAAGGCAATCCAAAGAGAGAGCAGCCAGAAGACGGAAGCAGCGGAACTGTGTTTTTAGAGTTCCCGGAGTGCGGGCCGGGACACTTGGATAAAACAGCAGCAGGTCTCCCGTAAAATACCGGACAAGCGCCCACTCAAAATTTCGAGATAATTGCAAAAAAATAGGGGATGGGCGCTTGTCCGGTCATCAATTTTACATATCAATCTACTGTGCACACTTCCTCAGATCTTAGAAATTTTGGAATGGGCGTTTAATGTGGAATGGGCGGATGCACGGTATGCTACGATAATTGCAAAGAAACAATTATGCACGTGCACGGCACCGCTTCTTGCTTTGATTAGGCAGGCTCTAGCAAAGAGATGCTTTTCTTATGCATACAAGAATATCAGGTCAAGACAGAGACCATTGAAAAGATGCACAAAGAAATATGGGTATAAATGTTGAGGTCATTTTTACTGGAAAAACTTAAAGGGGTTGTGCAAAGAAAATAGATATGAACAGTCTTAATTTTATAAAATTGATGAGGCCTCAAAGATCCCAAATCCCAAATATCCCGTCCACATTTTATGAACAGTGTTTGAAAATAGTGTTTCTTGGGGTGCCTGGAACGACTATGCGACATCGTTGCCCAGCTGGAGCAACAAAACGTCACAATAAGACCTGTGTAAAGTTGAGGATCTACTGTACCTTATATTGTGTTCCAATAATAAAAAGTAAGTTATGAAAATAGTGAGGAAGTTACTGCCGTTCTAAAATTAATTCGGAAGTTCTATATCACGTGATTGCAGGTAAGTTTCGTTTTTAAACACATTCGAGACTTCCGTCGCCCGGGAACCATAGCAACGTCGGCTCCTCCCCGCTCCTGTCGCCCTGTCGTCTGCTTGCCGCTGCGCATTTTCTGTGCGCGGCAAGTTTAGGTTTATTAACGAAAACGTTTGGGGCTAGTTGGTAAGTAGACATGATAAAAACAAAACAGCGCGGAGACAAAGACGAAGTAGAAGAAACAACAGGACACAGCGCAATGCTGTGTCCTGTGGTTTCTTCTACTTCGTCCTTGTCTTTGCGCTGTTTTGTTTTTATCAACTTTAGGTTGTTGTGTGTGCTTGGCGTCGTTGGCGTCTGTTGTGTGCGCGCTTCAGCAATCGCCATGCTGACCGTGTGTCTTGTGAGAGAGTGCAACACGAGGTATGGTAAAACGAACGACATTCGGTTCCATAAGTTACCGGACGATCCACAACGAAGAGCGGCCTGGCTTCGAGCCATTGACCGCGAATCTCGCTGCTCAGAGCTCGCCCCGTCTTCGCTGTCGCCGTCGGATGGTAAGCGGTCTCGTACTCCTCGGAGGGGTGTGTCCGCATAAATCACAAAGCTGGGAAGTCTGCTTCGCTCGATTAATCGACGCTGAAGCTCGGGGAGGGCAAGCCAATCGGACATCTTGCATCTGAGAAACATATCTGGTTCGCCTTTGACTTCTACGCGCGACGTCAGAAAGGAAAACTTCCCGATTGGCTGTCTTGATGTGACGTAGCCGTAGAATTCAGAGGGAAGCTGACCAGGAAACCGAAATTGTCGTTTTACGCTAATAAATTAATCCGGACGATAAAACAAATGCGCATTGGTTACCTAATAGAAGACCGGCAATCAAAATATCGCACATAGCGCAAATTTTTTAAAAACATTTCCCGACCCCTTTAACAGTTTTATTGCTTTTACAAGTCTGACTTGAGAAAAACCAGAAACTGCCAAAAGCTTACATGTTTTATCGTTACTTTAAAATCTGAGCCCTCGTAATATGGTACACCCCTTGGCAGTCTAAAAATTTTGATCTGAAACTATATGCACTTCTAAGTGCTACCGTAAAGCCAGTGTCCAGCACAAAGTTTGGTTGAAAATTGCAAGATAGAAGAGCACATGCCTCCGTCATTCGAGGAACAGCCTGGTGATGATGGCAGCATCGCGGCCGAGGAAGGATGTGGGGGCTCTTGCTGCATCTCCACAGGCAGGCTATCCGGCGCTGAAATCAAACAAAGAAAAGCACAGTTCTTTCTTTGCTTTTTACATGAGTGAGCACCCAAAACATACATGGCAAGGCACCACGGGATGCTGCAAGGCTCTCCACCACGGCAGGCGTCGCCGGCTGGTACGGCAGGGAACCTGAGGTCCGTAGCAGACAAGCATTCTCATTTGACAATTTTGTGTAGACTATTCAGCTATGGATGTTTACTTGATGACCCAGCATGACACTGGCCTTTGTACAGAGCCAGAGGAGGCTCTGAAACAATTAAATACACACAAACTAAAACACTAATGCGATGCTGTGTTGATTCAGGGAAGGTCCTCAAGCTGGAGAATACTATACTGGCAAGAGCAAAATAATCCATCCACCTTTGCAAAGCATACTGCAAAGGTGGATGGATGGGTTTGTAAAGCATACTTAGCCCCACGTCCTTAAACGGCACTGGCACCCCAAAATTCAAATTTATTTGATTGCTCCAGAAGTTTCAGGATAGCGTCGCAAACGGACGCCTCCTCACTTCTTCACTGCGATGACGTAAAGAATACAACATTTAACAGCGATATTCGGGAAACATATTTTTTAAGGCTATTTCGAACAAACCTTGCCCATTGTTTCGAAATTAATGAAATCAGAGCCGGGAGGTGTTAGTGACAACCTCAGTCATCTCTTTCCGTTTTCTCCCCAACTCCCCACGGTCATTGGAAAAGGTAGCCTAAGAGAGCGAGGAGTTGCCAAGTCACCATGGAATGTGTATCTGCAGAGGCGGAAAGAGCATAGGAATGATGGCAGAGATAAAAGAAACAAGGCGTCCGAGCTCGGCGCTCGGTGGGGATATGCGCCATCGATGCGCCCATTGATGCACAAATAATTAGTTCCCAAGCCTCAGATTTTGAGGGTGATGTTAAAGGGTAACGGCAAAGAAAAATAGATTTTTTTTTAAACAGCCTAATTTGGACAAGCATGTCAAAAAAAAATTTTCCGCGGGGAAAAATATTTTTTTACAGCAATATTCAGCAATATTTATTGCGTGAGACCGATTTTAGTTTGCGGCTACTTCGTCCGTTTTAAATCGCACGCCATAAAGTTGGTGTTCTGCGACGCTTAGCTTCGATTGGCTGCTATACTTCTCACTGGATAAGAGGTTGATTGACAGCTTAGATCTTGGTTGTTAAACCTTTGTTATATAATGTAATCTCCTTTCGAGCGGCATATTTTTACGTTTAAAGAATAACCCATGTGATGAGAGTTATTATCTTTACAAAAGGTTTACAAGACGGGCACTTCCGTTTGGATTCATACCATAACGAACAAAAGCTTCGCCATTCTTTCATGGCCGCCGAAGTCTCTACTCCCGCCTGTCTCGCCTACCTCGACTAGTCGTTTTGCCCAAGTGATCAGTGTGTCGTGTTGACCCAGGTGCTTGAGTGAGACTTCTTGAAGTGAAGAAGTGTGTGTTTAGCAGCTGTCGCAGGTGTTAGTAGTGATAGGAAGAGACGCGGGGTTTTGGCTTTCATAGTGCGGTTCTTTTGTTTTCCTCTTTGCTGGCCTAGCGTTTTTTTTTTTCTTTTTTTCTTTTTTTTTTGCTGGCACGTGCAAATGCCGGCTTTTTAGAGATGCCAGATGAGTGATTTCGACAGCGAGCCTTCCAGCAGCCATGTCGCCCCGAAAGGAATGCTCTTTGGCTGGAGGCAATCGAGCATTCGCGTAGCGACAAACATGCCCAATTACGTTCTCGTCATATCGCTCCGGAAGCCGTAGACTAGACACAGCTATTATATAAAAAACATGGCACAACGTATTAGCTGTCTGCAGAAGCCTTCGGACGTCCGAATTCTGCGTTAGCAGACAGATTTTTTTCTCTGCTTCCGAACCATCTTAAGTAAAGTTGCTTGAATGAATGTGTACTGTTATCGCAAATCTTGGCTAGTGATTGCGGCTCTGTAGATTATCTTATTTGTTTTGCTGAAAAGACGCAAACGACGGGCATAACAAAATCGGTTGCATATTCCGCGTACCTTGCAAAAGCACTTCCTTAGTCACCTTGCGAAAAGTGCGAAACACGGAGTCCGCACCGTCCCGACTTCCCAGTCCTTTACCTGCTTTAGAGCAGTTTGTACCTGCTGGCAGCTAGCACGTATGTCTACTGAAACTGCAACTTGAAACTAGGGGCAGTGCCAGAGAGTAAAGAGACAAAGTCAAATATGGAGAGGTTCTGACTTCCGACTAAATTACGTCCCGTGGCGTAAATATTGCTAAAAAATTTTTTTTTTCCCGGAACATTTGTTTTGTGACATGCTTCTCACAATTAGGCTGTTAAAAAAACACTTTCTTTTCTTTGCAGTTACCCTTTAGGCATCATTTTCAGTCGCATGAGCCATTAAAAAAAAAAATTACATTTTGGGGTGTCAGTACTTTTTTAAGTAGGACAGGCAATTTACCTGCAATATTTGCATATTTCGTTAAGGCATGTGAAATTATCAGCACCTGCATTTGATGGTAGTGCCACCAGCTCCTGTAGCACACCTTGAGAAAGACCTATAACCAGAACAAACATTTAAATAAATAAGACACAAAAGCCACAGTTACAGTATACAACAGAAGTAAAAGACACAGGAAGAGGACTGGCACGGACAAGTGTCTGT